CACAAAGATGTTAATTCCGGCAGATCTGAACTAAAGACCTCGTGGATTACCCCATGCCGAGCGCAGGGCGTTGGTGATAGTCTGGATATGGAGTTGATTACGGTGTAGTACTTTACCAGCCAACAGCCACCTCGCCGGTCCATCCTCGATGCGATCATCAAGTATCAAAGGAGTAGCCTCTTCCTCGGAGATATCAAGTTTCCCTAAAGCTTCCTCCAATTGTTTCCTGGCCGCGCGACCCGCGAGAGGGTCGCTCTCCGGCGCCGCCCCCGCCGCAGAGTTAGATCCTGCCATGCGCAGGTTCTCCCCCTTGACGGATCTCTCGCACCGGCGATAGATCACCGGACGAAGGCTGTTTCCACGTCCAAACCCTAATCGCCTCCAGCGCCGCCAGAGGGTTTAGGGTTAGGGGAAAAAACTGCGGTTCTCCAAATCCCGATCTAAAACAGGCCAAGACAACTTGTCCCTGCAGGAAACCACACAAGAGGCTCACAGTATCGTACTATATATATGTACACCTTCAGACTTCCATGTAGCTAAGTACAATAATCCCAAGTATTAGTAAGCTCCACGGGTGGTTGATCTCTAGTTCTCTTCCATCGACCATTTGCCAATATCCAAAGAGAAAAGCCCAGGGCACTGCTAGTGCTAGCTCCAGGTACCATCGCCGTATGCGCAGAGTCGAGAGAGAGACAGAATTCGGTTCAGGCGTTCAAGGACCAGTCGTAGTCCTGGTAGGCGATGCTGATGGGTCCGCCGTCGTTGAGGAGATGCGTCAGGAGCCCGGCTTTGGTCGGGTCCAGGTAGTTGAGGATCCACCTGAGGATGTCCCTGTCCTGCCCGAAATCGGCGCTGTACCTGCACAGCATAGAGCAATCGCCGGTCACCACCAACTCCCCATGAACTTGAAACATGCATCAGCCCACCCAGCTGGGATGGGATTGGCAACAAACAACAGGGTAGCTAGCTGCAAGCTCTCAGTACCATTTGATGATCCTGGTGAGGTGGACGGTCCGGGTCTCGAGGTCGATCTCCACGCCGCCGTCGAGGAGGAACTCCCTGGCCGCGTGCCGGAGCTCCGGCTCCACGCCCTGCGTGGAGTAGAACCGCACGCTGGGGCTCGACCGCGTCGCGTTGCACAGCGCGAAGTGCACCAGCGGGTTCACCTTCGTCTCCGCCAGCTGCACAGCCAAAGTAAAATAAAGATCCCAGCGCGAGCGGAGAGCATGCAGCGAACGGTGTTCCAGACATGTACCTCGAGCCTCTTATCGGAGGCGCCGAACGGCTTGACGATGGTGTAGGGCTTCCTGCGGTTGCCGCGGAGGATGCCGTTTTTGATGGTCGTGAGGGAGTAGGGGTACCCGCCGACGACGTACTGGAAGTCGGTGAAGAAGGACCGGCGGTCGACGGCGCCCCCGCCCGCTGGCTGGCCGGTCCTGATGACGGCGTGGATGGCCATGGCGTTGTGCAGGTTGAGGAAGAAGGACAGGCGCTCCCCGGCGGGCAGGGCGAAGACGTCCGCCCGCTGGAGGTCCCGCGCCAGGCTGGCGTACCTCCGGAACTCCTCGCTGGCGGCGACGCGGGCGTAGTCGAGGCGGCGGCGGTCCTCGGAGGCGTAGGCCTCGAGTATGGCGACCATGATCTTGGTCATCCTCTGGCCGACGGCGGCGGCGGGCTTGGGCTCGCCGTCGTTGGTGGAGCCCCTGAAGTTGTAGTACCTGGGGACGGCCGGGTCGTGCTCCAGGAAGCGGTACAGGCTCTGGGTGCCGTCCTCGAAGCCGTTCTCCCTGCGCGCATATCCATTCATTGACGAACAAAACATCAGAAGTAAACTTCAGAGTGATGCATTGCACGCTGACCTGAAGACATGGTGGATGAAGTGCTTTCTCGCGAGCTCTTTCCCGATCTCCACAGCCTATAAGTAATGTAAAAATAGAGCTTATTATTATTGTCTTGCTTAATTGATCGGTCGAGGAGGAAATTAAAAACTGTTTAATTGATCGATCGACCTCCACAGTCCTGGCATTTGAAGTCAAATTCACAAGAGAAAACACGAGCGAAATAGACAAAGGCCAAGGGCAAGGACAGCGACGGGGACACTGGTGCAAGTCAAATTAGGGGGAACGCATCGATCATACGTATGCATGCACTAGACCGCATGATGGGTCGGTGCTTAAGCACCAAGAACGTACGAGTAGCAGTGGATCTATCACGCGCGGATTTCTTTCGGTCGTCCGCCCCACTAATCTAATCACGCTGCTAATTTTTCCAACCCGACCAAAATCTTATTACGTCTTCCAGCACGCAGGGCCAATCAGGGACTCTGCTCACGAAGATTGCACCGAGAGAGAGAAGGGTGTCTGTCTGCCGTCTGTCCTGTGATGGTCAGCGACGTGGTCGGCACAGAATCACACCACCAGTGCGATCGAGCACGCACGACCGGTTCAATTACTATCCGAATCAACATGGTCAAACAAGTGCGTACGTACACACGCCGCGCCGGTCCTGATTGGGTGCCAACGAACCGAGCCAGCCAGTGGTGGGGCCGGCTGCTTGCCCCGTTCCGTTGTGCTCCGCTCACCCGTTGCGGCGCGGGAAACCAAAGGAGAGCAGGCGGGCCGGTCCGGCACGGCACGGCACGGCGCGCGTGATCCTATCCCATCCTAGACAGCGTTTGCTTCCGGGCACCTCGTTTTCACCGATATGTTCCTTGGTATGATCGCTGCCTTCAAAGTTGTCTATACTGATTTGGACAGCGTCATAGCGTTTGAATTTCTAAAGTTCGGCATTTGGCAGCCGTGCATGACAACCAAGTTTCTCTTCGCCTAAAGCGAGTATATTCGGTTTTATTGAATTAATTGAGCATGACTTAAATGTACTCAATATTGACAAGGCTAAATAGCATGACTGGATTCTAAATAAAATTTAAGTAGTGAAGTAATTTGATCAGAAAACTATGACCAACTTAATTTTGCTTCATTTAAACTCAATATTCGCGTCTTCTATTTGCCCACTTCTGCAAAAACAACTCGAGGTATTGTTTAGGTAAAAGTGGACAAATACTACTACAGTGGCAGCTCGAGCTCAACACAGCATAATATTAGCTCCTAATGCGCACCATCAGCAAGTTAATTCTGTGAGAAATGATACGCTCTTAACTATTCACACCCAAGGCGTTTAGTCCAACACTACGTACTCACCATTCATGCAAAAATAAACAACGATCACGATAAAAAAAAGTCAAACGAAACAGAAGCGGGCAGTAATAATCTAGTGCAACTCACCTTGTTCCTGCTGCACTCCAAGTGGTTCACGATGCCGTCGACCATGTCGGCGCCGGAGAAGCAGTTCTTCACGAGCTTCACCCTCACGAACCGGTCCTGTATGGGCAGCCGGTGCCGGAGCACCCTCACGATGCCCACCATGGCGTCCTCCATCTCCTCCTCCTCCCCCTCCTTGCCGGCGTCGGCGTCGAACCCGTACACGGGCACCCGCGGCGCCGCCTCGGGGCACCGCCTCCCGGCGACCTCCCGCACGCGCCGCTCGAACTCGCCGCTGTTGCGCAGGGAGTTGAGCACGACGAGCCCGCCCAGGAGCTTCTCGTTGAGGAAGATCTGGGGCACGCGCGCGGCGGCGCCGGCCCGGGACGCGAGGTCGGCCTCGCGCTCCGGGAACACGTCCAGGTTGATCTCCACGTAGGGCAGGCCGGACTGGCGGAAGAAGGCGCGCACGGCGGCGCAGTCGCGGCATCCCGAGCGGGAGAAGAAGCTGACCCGGCCCTTGATGTGGCTGCCCGAGAAGGAGTGGCCGTAGCCGTCGTCCTCCTCCGCGTCGGCGGCGATGGCCTCCTTGAGGCGGACGGTGACCTTCACGTTGGGCAGGTGGATCTCCTGCACGCCGTAGCACGCGTCCCCCGGCGCCGGGGCCGGCGTCTCCTTGAGCGACGAGATGCGGCGGTTGATGGCCGAGGACAGCACGTCGCGCCGGTCGCGGAAGAAGCGCCCGATGGACGCCACGTCCACCACGGCCGCGGCGGAGTTGGACCGCTCGACGTGCCTCTGCCCTTCCTCCACCTCGACGTGCCCGTTCGGCGCCGGCGTGGAGACCGCCCTCGTCAGCCCAGGCGGCGCCTCCGGCTGTGGGAGGTGCGAGGGCGGGCGGAGCACCACGCCCTGCAGCATCTTGCGCGCGTAGTACACGTCCTCCTCCTCGCCCGCGTCCGCTGCCGCGGCGATCCCGGTCCGGGTCCGCAGAGCGTGCGCCGCCGGATCGTCGTGTCGATGTTTGACGACGGCTGGATCCGGGGCGTTGGGGTGAAGGTGGTTGTGGTGGTGGGGCGCGAGCGGCATGGCCTGCACGAGGGTCTCCTCTCCCATGCCTCCTCCCCTCGGGGCCTGGGTTTTACGAGTGCCGAGCGGAACGGAACGGAACGGGAGGGCAACGGTATTTTTCTTTCCTTTTTTCTTCCTCCGCTGCTGCTCCTGTAACGGGATTTGGGATTTCCTTCGTTTTTGAGCGGCGAGGCGAACCAGGAGGGGGGTGGGGGGTTTAAGAACGAAAGGCCGGGCCGTCTATGCGCCACGACCACGACGCGCGCCGATGGACCCGGTGTACGGCGCCGCCGGTGTGTGACATGTGGGCCCCGGGGCGCCGTGAACCGCGGGAGGGCTTCAAAGGGGAAGAAGAAGTCAGGCCATGTGCCGATTTGGGTTGGTTTCTTTCGTTTTCCGGGGTCGTGTTGATCGGCCAGGTCAATCTGGGGCCGCACGGCACGAGCAGAGCTCCTCCGGCCGTCGTGCACGGTGGGATC